TGTTTACTTATTTAGTAATTTGAAGTTATTAATATTTTCATAATAATATTCACGGTACTAAATTTACTGCACAGTAAACTTTAACTTATTTTGAGTTATTTGTTTGTTTCACAATTCAACTTTTAGTCAGTTTCAATCACTGTGTGATAAATCCTTTCAATCCGATAAATGTGCTTCGGGGCAGTTGTAACTCATTTATAGAAACTCCTTGTTTTGAACAGTAGATAGACCCAAATAATAAGATAATCCTTTACTAAGAACATGATTTACATTCATTCTTCACAATTAAGAAGCATCAAATCCTACAATTTCATTGGTCGAGAGCACTTTGCTATATTCTAACTTTTTATATGTAATTTAACTCATGACAGTAATGAAGCACTGGTTACTGGAGGGTTTGTATCCATAATAGTAATCACTTTTGTGTTTAATCGTGAATTTACGGTACATTTTCTGTTCAGTAAATGTTGATTTATTCGAAACAATAAGGTTTAAAAAAAAAAAAAACCTAGGCTGTATTTGACACAACTTTTCGAAATTTTTGGTTTTCAATGCTCTTTAACTTCGAATTTATTTGATCTTCAAACTGTTTAATTCAAATTCCATTGATGAGTCTTATGTAGACACAGTGCTGGTGGACGTTTCGTTACCGAGGGTATTACCAGCCCAAATTTCAACACTCATTTTGTTGACATAAAATATTATTGATCGTTCATTTTCTGTAAATTTAATATTTATAAAATATCGAATTATTCAAAACACTAAGATTTTCTAGCCCAGGCATAAATGGCCGTAGCTGTGTTTGGCGCAACTTTTCGAAAATTTAGATTTTCAATGCTCTATAACTTTGGACTGGATTTGGCTTCCAACTGTTTTGATTCGAGTGTCACTGCCGAGTTTCATGTAGACGAAATCAGCATCTGGCGTACCAAATTATAAACCTAATATTTTTAATGAGTTTTTTGTTGGAAGAAGAAACATTTAATATCTATAGGTTTAATTCTGTATTTCATTACAGTTGGCTACTTTATTTTTCTGATGATAAATTATTCATTCATTTGTAACTATTGCGACATATCTTTCCACAATTCTAAATTGAGGCTAGGGACATCTTTGCAATATACTTTCCTGCCTCTGAAAAAGAAGAAATACGTGTACTAGTATTTGAAATAAATCTTTCATAAAAGGTTGTTTATTTCAATCCAATAAATAATAATATTACTTTCTTTGCTTTGTTCGTATTTTGTAAGATAACTCATGTCAAAGACAAGTCATCACGCATGGTCACATTTTAAAATGATTCAGATAACTTTGGTTTTCCTTTTGCATAAAAAAAATCAATATATAATTTGGAATATCTGAAAGTTGGTTCCAAATCCCGGAGTTAAAATTTAATTTTGTCACGGAAAAAATGCACAGTTGAACACCGATTTAAACTACTATCTTTCATCACAATGCTCTGATTCCCCAATCAACAACATATTTTTGTTTTGTTTGATAAACATTTTATTGGAACACATTCATGATCATTACTCTCGTTACCGACATCTTCTCGCCAACCGGTTCCTTTACTCATCAGATGCAAACATCATGTAGCGGCTTCTAAAGAATAATGACAAGAAGTTTGAACTAATATGTGATTTGTATTAACAAATTATTTTAACTATCTCATATAAAAAAAAGGCTTAATACCACATGCTATAGGTTAGGCCATATTATAAATACAAATTCGACAACGTGGACAGATTCGGGAAAAAGATGACTTAACATTTTTGAATGGTTTAAGTAAATATTTTCCAATATAACATAGGGTCGATTTTGAATGAACAGTGCAAAATATATGTGTCAAAGAAGACAACGAATATGTACTCTTTCATAAGTGACAATCCAGCCCCCGAGTTTAATTTTCATGCTATGTATTTGTACATGTTTCGTTTTACTAAATACGATTATCAAGACTCAGGGATTATTAATGATGGTATAAACTTGATAAAAATTTAGGTAAATGTAGCTGATTTCAAATAGAAAGTTTGTCAAAATTAGGGTGGTATACAGATGCATTTGTGAAAAAAGAAAACATCAAAGATAATGTACAAGATTTCGTTTCATCTTGTTCTATAGTATCTTACAAATTATACAGATTATTATCATCAAAAAGCTGGTGCAACTATATTTTAAGCTGCCTTTTATTAAAACATCAAAAATTCAACCAGGAATATTTTTAATATCACTTTTTAAGTTTATGGACCCTTCTGTTATATCATGTACATGATGCAGAATTTCGTGTCAGGTTTTGTTGATCACAGATGAACTCAAGATTTTTGTGATTCGATTTAATCATAGGGGATCCTGATTCTCGTTCAGCTTTGATTTGCTATTTTTTTTTATATATATACGATTTGGCGATGTTTTATTTAAATAAAATATATGTTATTTAATGCATTTGTGATCGATACCAAATTGCCAGAAAAACGCGTTTAACTTTTTATTACATTATCATAGTGTAAATTTATGTCTTAAAAACGTCTTTTCTTTACATGTAATTTGGTGTAGTGTAAGCTTACCTCTTCAGGAATGCATTAGGTTGAATCTTTGTTAGGTTAAAATTGTCACAAAACATCTTTGACAATCTCATTGATTTAATGGAATTAAGTTGATCTATGATAAAGAAAATTTAAATTATTAGCATTTTGTTTGTCTGTCATATCATGCTACTTCTAACTGAACTAGTATACATTATACATTTATTTCCCGTGCCGGAGGGAGATATGAAGATTTGTTCACCCAAGAATATTCATATTTCACGAGGGCTCTGCCCGAGGGAAATATGATCTTTCGAGGGTGAATAAATCTTCATATCTCCCGAGGCCAAGGGAAATGAATGTTTTATTCCACTGCCTATGCTTTGTTTCCTATCAATACATTAAATATTATTTTGCATACATTTTTTTTCTTATCCGCTTGTTTTTGTAAGTCAAACTAAACACGACATACCCATTGATAAACAGTAAGGATCAAACTTTAATTATAAGTCTTTTTGTTTTATCGTCTGAAATAAATTTGAACATGATAATGATTTTTGCTATAGCTGTTTTAAGAAGAATAAGAAGTTCAAAACGTTATGTACATTAACCGCGCGTAACGTCGCACGAAGTAATCCCGATATTTCAGAGGGGAATATGATCCTCAGAATGGAATATGAAGATTTGTCCAATGACACGTGGGATAGTCTCAACCAATCAAATATTGATGAAACTATCAATATGTTTAAACAGTGGAATAACATTGTTTAGTAGCCATCTGAAGCTCGCCTCCGGTGCAGGATTTTTCGCTGCGTTGAAGACCCATTGGTGGCCTTGGGCTGTTTTCTGCTGTTTGGTCGGGTTGTTGTCTCTTTGACACATTCCCCGTTTCCATTCTCAATTTTATTAATGTAAAGTTGATTAAACTTACCTTGATGGATGACATTTTATATTAATACTTTTTCTATATATCCCCTGAATAGTTCTTTTTTATAGTGTTTTCAAAACTATGATTTAAGATATCTTCCGTACGTCGGATTGCTGCACTAGGTTGGTGAAATCATTTTACCTTATATATTCAATTCTACCAGATTAGTCGAGGTGGACAAAGTAATATTTTTACATGCTGGTTAGTGTTTTAGTCTTTAGTAAACATTAATTTAATATTTTATTTACGCGAAATGTATGGATGTTACTTCAGGATAAAGAGAGTGTTACTTATATATGGAAAACCAATTTTCTGTTTGATTATGGACCTATAATTTCTATTTCATTATTCATACGAAATTTCTTTGAACCTAGATATTAAAAAAATCCGCTGTAAGCGTTAAACGACATTAAAGACAAATTGATAACATGTAAGAATGACGACTCCCTTTAATGCTAAATAAAAAGGTTTTTAATATGTACGAAATGCAAATATTTTTCAATTGATTTTAAACTCTTAGAAAAGATTTCAGTTCATTCGATTGTAATAACTTTGACGTAAATACATTTTTATAACCAACGAGTTTTAGGTTATCAAAAAAATGAAAACAACATGCGTCCGAAGCGATTTTATGGATTTATCTTCAGCAGGAACGCTCAAAGCCGAATATTTGAAAGCCAAGGATGTATAAGAACCTAATTAGTTGAAGAGCTATATAACCAAAAAGGGCCTAACAAAATAGCCAAATATATCTAAGGTCAACTTTGCCTGAGGGAGTTGAAACCTTAGTTTCTTATAACATCAAAATTTATCAAACATATAAACAGTTTAGAGTCATTATTTCCTTGATAGAGGGTTGCTGCTTACAAAGAAGCTATTGAACCAAAAGTTACAAGTGATGAAGTTGAAATCACCCAATCGAAAATTTTATGGACGCCACCACGAGTTGGTTGATCGTTATGGAATATCTGTTTCACAGATGACAACAAATATGTTCCAATAGTTGTAACAACAATCCCGTCCTCTTACTCAAATTGGGCCTAGCGATTTAGACTTATCACTGTGTTTGTACTTTTCTTGAGCAACACAATGGGTGCCACATGTGGAGCTGCATCTGCTTACGCTTCCTGAGCACCTTGGATCACCCCCGGTTTTTGGTGGGGTTCGTGTTGCTCAGTCTTTAGTTTTCTATGTTATGTTTTGTGTACTGTTGGTTTTTTTCGGTTTTTTTTTGTCCATAGCATTGTCAGTTTATTTTCGACTTATAAGTTTGAATGTCATTTGGTATCTTTCCCTTCTCTTGTAGAGTGCATGTGAATATAAAATACAAATACCAGTACTAATAATTTTTCAAAAAGCAAATAAAGCTCACTGAAGCTAAAGCTAACTGAACAAAAAAAAAAAAAACTTATCTGCCTTGTAGAAGTTTAACTAACAATCCGTTCATTAACGATTAAACTAAAATAATGAGTCTACTTAATATCATGCAAAGGAATAAAATAATAATGTAAGATGATTTTTTCATTCGTTTGCTACTTCTAATAACATACCCCGAGTAAATCCCGCCTTTCCACGAGGTCTCTCATACCAGTGTCTATCGCCACTTTTCAGGGCTTGAAACTGACGTACGAATATACATTGGAAGGTTGGGCCTAGTAAACTACCTGCTTTTGCTGTTTCAGAAATAGCTCCAGCGTACAAATCAATGTGTGATTCGTGTCTGAAAATAAAAGCATTACAATTTAGTGGGTTTAAACCTTGTGTGTTTTATCTCAGACAACAGAAAGAAAAGGACAATTGCATTCGATATGAACCGATATTACATAAGTGTATTTTCAAAAGAAAGACGACGGGTACTGCTAGTGGATCATCAGTTGCCTACCCTCCAGAGCTTCTAAATTCAAACCCGTTTTTTTGTGCAATTCATTTTATTTTACCTATGTTGATTATTGTTTGCCTTTCTGCATTTTTTGCATTTGGCTATTATGTTGCCTCTTCCTTTACGACTTATAGTTCTTATATCTATGATTGCTTTATCACCAATTACATAGCGTATGTTATATGAAGCTGTTCGTTTCGAGCGTTAATATCGTAGGATAACTTATTATAGAACACTTGTGCGTACTGACATCTGTATAATACAAATACATTATTACCACTTGCACTTGCCCCTGCTGTTTGACTATCGGCCACCGACTATAGCATCTGCACAGTATTCAGAGCTTTGGTAATGTCATGATCAAAATGAACAATTTGGTTTCTCAATTTTCAGCAATTACATAAGGTTATACTACTTAAACAAAACTTTCAAAAGCTCTGTTCTGTTTAGGTCTTTATAGATTATGATGCTCTGAAATGCTTTATTAATTTCCATTCTCAAATTTATTTATTTGACTCTGATATGTTCACAAGTGTAACGATGATTTATCATGATATATATGTTTGTTCAATAAAATAAGTATGAAATAGGTTTATATTATAGTAGACACTTGAGACATTCATACCTGTACAGTTCTTTGATTTTATCAGAGCTTTCTTTATCGTGATCGAAAATAGGATCATCGCTAAATTTTATTGGTATCAAACCACAAAATTGTCTCCATGTATTGTAATCTGGCAGACCATGATCTCGTCCTCTCTGAATATTTCGAGCAGCTAAATCATGACTTGTTCCTTCCAATTTAAACAATTTGTTTCGTACTTCAGGCTGGAAAAATCTACAGCATATCGTTTTAAAATAAATATAAGCCATTCAGTTACGTAAAACATATTAATATTTTTGTCAGAATGTTGGATTTGTTTTATAAAACTCAAATTGGATACCGCTTATCACTTAGAAGTATAGCATATTGTAAAATTGAGAATGGAAATGGGGAATGTGTCAGAGAGACAACAACCCGACCAAAGAGCAGAAAACACCCGAAGGCCACCAATGGGTCTTCAATACAGCGAGAAAATCCCGCACCCAGAGGCGGGCTTCAGCTGGCCACAAAACAAAAATGTGTACTAGTTCAATGAAAATGGACGGCACACTAAACTCCAAAACATAAAAATGAAGTAAAATTTAAAAAAAAATACAAGACTAACAAAGGCCAGAGGCTTCTGACTTGGGACAGGCGCAAAAATGCAGCGGGGTCAAACATGTTTTGTGATATCTCCCCCTATACCTCTAGCGAATGTAGAATAAACAAACACACAGCAATACGCACAGTAAAACTCAGTTTAAAAGAAGTCCTAGTCCGAAGTCAGAATAGGTAACAAAAGAAACTAAGCAAAATGACAATATACCTATTTCAATTTCGTTCAAATCCTTCAACAGAAGAGGGTTTCTCAACAGGAGAAGGTATATCAAGATTATTTTTGGTCCTTTGAATTCAAAAATCAAAAAGTATTATAAATCTGTCAAGTGACACTGTTCAGATATTTATAAGACACCGTTCAGATGTTTATACGACACCAGACTGTCAGACATCAGTATTTATTTTTCTGAATTTTGTGTTACATATTTGCATTATGGCTTTAAACCTCATGCTTTTAGTGTAAAACTACAAAGACTGCAACAATAGCCTCATTTTGAGATCTTGTACATTATCACTTAGATATGAGATAATACTTTACAATAAAAAAAGATATTTTGATACAAGAGGTATTTTACAAAAATGCTAATGTGTGTAAAATATCTTTGTGGATAAGACCTTGAGTTATATCTATTTTGACCAAAAATAAGTGTAAACTTGCCATTCCAGGCCAAATAAGACATATTAATGACGTTACAGTGATATCGCAACTGACCTCCCTGTAATTATGTGCCATGTTTACATAATTTTGATACCTGAAAAATTGTACTATTCTTGCACTATCAGGGGTTAGTTAAATAATGGCTATAAGGATCATACATCCTCCTTTATGATTTTTAAAAAAAGGAAAAAATTGTAGAATCAATTTTGAATTCCATATTATACCTATATTTAATTTTTTTAATCCTAGCATGTAAAGACACTTCTCATATTTTGTGATAAAAAAAAAGATTTACTACATGTTTTCCAAATTGCACATGCCGCAAATTTGACATCCAATCCCCGAACTTCAATTTGGAATAGCATGTTATACCTGTTAATCATTTTCATTAAAATGATATAACAAAAAGATATTTCTCATCATTTGTGAGTTTCTTAACCAAGAAGAAGAGTTTTCACCACTATTTTTGTACAAAAATTGACTTGAGACTTCCTTTGGTAGATATAAAGGCTGCGCATATAAATGATTGTAACCAGATCAAGCAGTCTTAACTTATCATTCGTAAGAAAGTGTTGCATACCCTTACTTGAGAGTAAGATCCAATGGCATTGAAAAATCATAGCCCTATTTCCCAATAGAAGTGAACCGGAATAAGTCATGCAAGTTCAATCTTTTGCTCTACCAATTTTACAATGATATTTTATCAGTTAGTTACAGAATTATTTGACAGCTTTCAATGCAATTGACCAAAAAAATAAGCAGCATCTGATCTTTCAACATCATTATCTTGACCATCAAAAAAAGGTTCCAGATCTTTTATTAAAGACATCGAATTTACATAGATATTCCAATTTTTCCAACTTTTGTGATTAAGTTACATCAAAATAATTTTAGGGGCCATTAAAAAAATTAATATAAATAGACATCGTTCAGAGAATAACAATTTAGTCATTTAAATTATGGAAAAAAAAAATGTTTGTTTACATTTTATTGTCAATGAAATGATGATATACACTCTGCCTTTGTAATTTAGTAAAAATGGAAAACTTTTTAACATGTTTTTACTCTGAATTGATAATAATGTATGAGCATTTTGGCAGAAATATTTCTAAGTTTCAGATTTGTTCCCCGCCTTTTGTTAATAGTATAGATTTTTCACAGATATTTACGATCTGATACCAGATCTTTCCCTATCCGATCGCAATATGTCACAACCGTTACTTCTTCATTCGTGATCATTTTATTCGATATACAAAATGACAGCCATGAATATGATTTAGGGTTCGATGTCAAACTTATATATATATATATCATAAATACAATCCGTTTCATAACTTGTCAATTTTACCTGTCCGCTTTCATGCAGTGTTCATGTGTTAGCCATCTTGCAATATTATCTGTATGTTGTCCATCGTCTTTCAGAATCATATGAGTACTGAAGAAGTTGTCGTCAAGGTTTTCTCGATACAAAGTTCCATATTCACTAGATAAGTAAGCTAGACTTGGTACGATCAAGGTATGTCCTATTCGTAGAGCAGCGGTTGCAAAAGAATTTCGAATTCTTGGGTCTAAGCCTTGGTCGTACTGGTCATTGAAGGGATTTCTTCCGCTGCTAATACGTAAACTATGTCGGTTCATTGCCTTCTTACCAAGCATTATTGGTAAATATTCTTTATACGTAATGTGTTGAATTAATGCTATGATAATTTTCCGGGTTTCTTGAAAAACTATTTCGTTCGACCAATTTGGGTTGATTTCTTGAAGTTTTTTTGCTATAGCATTGTGTTGTCTGACTAGTAAAAGATGATTCATGCCAAGGTGGGGAATCTCGTCGACACGGGAATCCCCTGAAATCCAATAAAACGTTATTTCTTTACTTTAAAGAAGCATATGAAATAAAGGAGGCAGCAAAATGTTGACAATGTCGTAATACGATATTGGGTATTGGATTATGTATGATAAATATACAAGTACACTTATAGAATCGTTGTTTTAACACATTCGATATGGTAAGGTATGCGTAAATAATGTAATGAATTTGCTCCAATTACAAAGTTTACCCACTCATTAACATAACATGCACCGTCCTTTTGAAAGTTACAATCTCATATTGCATTATTGTGTCCTTAACTTTTCTTATAACATTACAATAGTATGATATGAAACTGGTTAAGTAATCTTAACAATTACGATAACTGTAAATTTGGAAATTATTGCGTGCATTTATTAATGCGATTTTTGAAAAATAGACTAAATCGCGAGATAAATTATTGCGATTTTAGGAAAATACGATTTTAGGAAAATAAGCGTACATATTTAAGCATCAGATATCAGAATGCGAGTTCTTGTCATTTCGATACCCATCCATTCGTATTACTCGCAATAATAAAAACCTCGCAATAATTTCTGAATTTACAGTAACATTCATGTAACAGCTTGATAAAATGCAAGTGCCGGTCCTTTTCAAATTTAATATCAATATTTATCTATGATAAGTTTATGTAGATGCAGTTCATTTTGAAGTTACTGCAGTCTTCAATTCAAATTTTGATTGAATTGATTATTGATGTTTACTTAAGGTTCATGTGGACCCTTTGGCTAAAATGGCTGCGTTTTCACCTCAAAATTTTACTCTGAGTACAGACAAACCTGTGCATCTGGAAAAGTTTTAAGGCATAGCATGCCCTAGATAAATAAATTTCAAATGCATTGTATGTTTTAGAAAATTTTAAACTTAACAGGATTTTGCAGTGCACTTTTTTTCGTCCCTGCAGAAGATGATAAAATTAATAAACAGTTGAGTTTCACTTGATATGGTCCACTCAGGTACACAGCTTAAATCACCAATTATTGTCAGTTATCTATTGTCCATCTATTGTCCATGTCAATCAATACAAGTCACATCAAATATTTCCTGTTGGGAAGTTCTCAAACCTCTTTCCCAACTTATTTTGGCACCTTCTGGAGGAAGGAAAAAAAAATGCAGTGCAAAATCCTGTTAAGTTTTTAATTTTCTAAAACATAAAATATGTTTGAATTTTATTTATCTAGGGCATGCTATGCCTTAAAACTTTTCCAGATACACAGGTTTGTCTGTACTCAGAGTAAATTTTGATATGAAAATGCAGCCATTTTAGCCAAAGAGTCCACACGAACTAACACTCGTTGGAAATCATTAATGCGTATGCAGGACAAGAAAAAAAAAACAATGTATACAAGGTAATTTCTGCAAAGTATGGTCGAGGTAGGTAAGGTAAATGCTAGAAATGATGGTATGTTTTAAAGGGGCAAACATTTACCTTGCAACAGACCAGATACGGACCCTTCAGAGGGCTGTTGTAAGGCTTCTTCAACGTGCAGAGAGTGAAGCACTTACCTAACACTAGAATCGGAATTAATGTCTCATTCAAATCAGACGTGGCACGTGTACGTATTTGTACATCCGCATAGCCAAACGACCGAAGCATGTTTGCAAGGGTTTTATCGCCGGACCGAAGCAAACAAGGGATGATCAAATTTCTATATCCAAGTTAACTCGTTGGATTATTATGATGTGTTTAACTTTCATTATAGTTTTAGTATTGAATGATCTGAAACTGGCGAAGTGATCTTAACAATAGTGACTAACATTCATGTAACAGGTTGATAAAATTCAAATACCTGTCACATCAAAATCTAATATATACTCAGATGCAACACCTTTTCAAGTAATCAACGTATATGCTTTGACGCAGCACTTTTCAAGTAACTAAAGTGTTCAATTTAATTAACTTTTATAAAACTTTATGAGAGGTTAACAATATAAATGCTCCTCAGTAAAGACTGTTCACATCACGTAGATCACTGTATGCGCAGATCGATCCAATATGTCTGCACTCAATTCTGTTCCTAAGTAAAGACTATTTACATCACGTTAGTTTACTGTATAGGTGTCTTCTTCCAGGTAAATACTGTTCACATCATGGTAAAAATATACGTATGTCGGTTAGGATTCCGTAATAGGTATCTCATGAGGACGCAGTGTGTCAGTGTAAGATCATCCCGACGGCAGGAGGCCGGAGGGTGATCTTACACTGACACACCAAGTCCGAGTGGGATAACTATTTTACATTCCAGCTCGTCTAGACTATTTGAAAAAAAAACATTTACGCTTCATAACATCTAGTTCAGAATGCCGTACAATAATTATAATATACTTTATTATTTTATTAAAATTATTTAAAATTAATTAATTAATTAAAATTATTTTCATTTACCTGTGTTTAAAGTTATTGCAAATGGATGGTATTTTTGTTCGAGCATATTGTTTTTCTTTAATTGTTTAACATTTCTTACCGATATAATCTGTTACTTTTATTATTCTTCCCTTAGTTTATTTATTTTGTATTTACATTGTGTCATAGGTCAAATTTATTTGTTCAGTGTATGTTCAATGGTGTTAATATGTCCTTTGATTGAGTTAAGCTATTTCAGTTGATATTTTATAGTGTGTCTTTCTATGTTGTGATGTTACACTATTGTTTCAGAAAAAGGGTAAAGGTTTGGTACCATTAAAACGTTTAAACCCGCTGCATTTGTTTGCACCTGTCCTAAGTCAGGAATCTGATGTTCAGTAGTTGTCGTTTGTTGATGTGGTTCATAAGTGTTTCTCGTTTCTCGTTTTTTATATAGATTAGACCGTTGGTTTTCCCGTTTGAATAGTTTTACACTAGTAATTTTTTGGGGCCCTTTATAGCTTACTGTTCGGTGTGAGCCAAGGCTCCGTGTTGAAGACCGTACTGTGACCTATAATGGTTTACTTTTATAAATTTTGACTTGGATGGAGAGTTGTCTCATTGGCACTCATACCACATCTTCTTATATCTATTTATATATTACTATATAGTATATGCCCTTTATGAGCCCCGGATAAAATGTTTAAATATGTTAAATTAACTGAGAATTTGTATCCAGTCGTCCTGGTGAAGAGTTATGAATCGTGCCTTCATATGCTTAAGGTTTTGAGTTCGATTCCCCGCATAGACGCTGGAAATATAATGGATTTTTTCTACATAAATTTTGAAAGTTAGTCTTTATTCTGCATAAATATTTCTAAGTTTTATTGTGTTTTCGACATTCCCGCCAAAATGTTACAGAACAAAAGAAAGCATGCAAAACAAAAAAACTCAAGGTAGGGTGATCTGGTAGGGGTGATCCGACTCAGATCACCCTTGTTAGAACAAAGGAGTTGGGATGAACATACAGATAACTATGGAGTTTAATGTGTTGTTTTTGGTCAGTTAAAAACAGTATTTTATGTGATGAATGGTTAGAGAGTCGCATAGGACAAACAGGAAACTGTACATGCTGTATATGCGAAAAGTAAGAATATATCAGATTTCTGATCCTATTTTGCTAGGTCATGTTTGAATGGAATATCTAAAATATGGTTTTTTTTACAAATTAAAAGTTCAAACGTATTACGAGACCTATCAAGGAAACAAACTTTTAATAGAGACGACCGGACATAACTTTTACTGTTCTTATGTATTTTATCTATATCACATGCATGAAATGCATTACTAGAGTTAGTTTACTTTTAGAATGAGTTTCATAACAGTGTGGACATGGACATCTGATATTTAAATGATATCGTGTCGGTCACTGGCTGTCGACAACAAAGACTTCACGCAATTACAGTATGTCAGGGGCCTCACAATGGGGATATACATAATTCCTAGTTTACACATGTCCATTCATAAAATAAAAGTTTTTGCATGAAAGTTTTTAGGAATTTGTTTTGAATATATTTATATACAGCAAAAAGTTTCTTTTGACAGAATGAGTATATTCAGAGGTGATATCACCAAGAAATCGAGAGAAAAAAAGTAAGAAAAATTATTTTCTGGCAATAAGTGAAAAATTAAGTAGCGTGTCAGTTATAGACAAGTAGTACATCATGCATTGCAAATCATTCAGTGGATAGGTCAAACGCCAAAATTAAAAAAAAAGCTTTATTTGTAAACAAACACTAATACATGCATTGACGGGGCATACGTATGCTAAATAATACATGTCCGTATAAAGAAATGTGCCCCACCTGTTAAATGCAGCTCTCCTGTTGATTTGAAAAACGAATGGACGGATCACAGCGATTTTCTATCCATGAATTAAATATGTTCACAATACCATTTATACTAGAATATTAAACGAGTGCACCCAGTTTAGTTTAAAAGTTATAATTACACTTTTACTGTTATGTTGACATAATAACCTGTACATTATATCGTGTTACAGTTGACCAGTGTAGTCTTGTGCACATGATTTATTATTACAAAACAGATGTACTGTGAACATATCATTAAATTTTTGGATATATATTGAAACACAGAAACCGAAAAACAGGTAAGTACAATTTCAAATTGTAAGGGGCGACATTCCTGATTCAGTTAAAGTAAGGGAGGGGAGGCTATGCAAGAGGCTTTTGAAATCAGCATGAACAAAATTGCAAATAAACCCTTATGCAGAATTGTCTCAAATATACGTCCTCAAATAAAAGTTGAGTAAGACCAAATTCATTGAAATTACCTGCTTAATTTGTAATAAAAGAATATAGATCCCGTAACTGTTGTTATACATGTTCGGGTATCAAAAAATCTAAAATAAATACATGTATCAATGTTTCCACAAAAGCTACACTGACTCCAATCAACGTAAATTTTGCACACAAGAACGGATTCATATGCTTCTTGATATTTTCACGAGTTATTTTTTTGTTAGAATGATATTTAAATGTTCACGAAAATCTAATCGTTGGAGTCTTCGATGGGAATTCAAATTTGTTCCGTGCAAAACATTATGCAGTCCAGAGGACTAAAATGATTTTTTTTAAGGTCCGGGGTTATTATTACCAACATAAATAATCTTAGTATGAAAGTTTATCGTAGGTTACTCTATATCACCTCGTACGAATAAATGTTCTCTTATTTTTTTAAGGAGCCACAGAACGTTTGTGCAAAAACAACAAAACGTTTTTTTCTCGATTACTTGGTGATATCACCTCTGAATATACTCATTCTGTCAAAAGAAACTTTTTGTTGTGAGTATGTAAATATATTCAAAACAAATTCCTATAAACTTTCATGTAAAAACTTTTATTTTATGAATGGACATGTGTAAAGATAGTAATTATGTATATCCCCATTGAGAGGCCATTACATACTGTAATTGCGTGAAGTCTTTGTTGTTGACAGCCAGTGATACAACGATAACATTGAATTACTATGTGTCCATGTCCACGCTGTTATGAAACTCATTCTAATTGAGATGTTTTCCTATATAAACGGGAGATAATTTAATTCCAATCAGGTCAGATCGCAAAAATAAAAATTCAGTATATGTCCGACACTTACGTAAAGAATAATTGATGTAAATGTACAAGTCATTTTTCTTATGGTAAAATAAAAACTCTTTTGCAAGCTTCACTTCAAATCTAAGTCCGCTTACGGTATTGAGAAATACATTTTACAACTGATATCTGATATCTCTTGATAAAAACTCGAGTGATTTTATTTCAATAATAAGTGTCGACTCTGAATTATCTGTCAACTTTTAATCAGGGACAACGCCCAACTACCGGCAGGTTGTAAAAGTAAACACGAATTTCAGAACGTTGGTAGAGATGTAATAGTCATTTTCAATCTTCGGTTCTATTTATTACTATCGAAAGAGATTTGTTGTTTTGTTTTTGTTAGTCTCTCTTGTTGATGCATTCTTCTCTGTTCAATTTTTCTTTACCTGCATTACTGTTTATCTTTTTCCTCTACATCTAACTTTGAATCAAACGATGTAGCAATTTGCATTTTAAAATATATACGTCGGTACATATATATACATATATATATATGCTCTAGATTATTTATACGATGTAGCCTACAGTTTATACATAAACTCATCATAGGTACCAGGATTAAAATTTGGTACGCCAGACACGCATATCTTCTACATTAGACTCATCAGTGACGCTTGAATCAAAAAATAAAAAAGGACAAATAAATTACGAAGTTGAAGTACATATGGGAATCAAACCTGCTAAATGACAATGCTGTTCTGGGAGGTTTTTTCGGCAATCTCCATTTGGGTTTTCTGGCAGCAAACCACTCGGACTCATTTTTAGCAATCCTGTAATATGTTGGAAATAAGATTATGAACCAATTTGTTATTTACATTTTGAGATCTATTTTTTTTTAAATATGTGTACAGATGTTGGAAGTAATCATAATGATTAAGCCTTTTGTTGGATAAAACCGGACACAATTCGAGAAAAACCCTCAAAATTCAGTTATATAATCTGTCTCATTCTGCTGAATATGTTTACATTGAAACACCAACGAAGCAATTATCGATTAATTTCAAACAATTTAATGTCCGAAGTTCATAAGGAGTCACGCCTTGATCTTTTTATAAGTAATTCTCTCCTTTGAGATATTAATTTCCATTTTCAATGGATTGTTCTATTCATATCCATCGAAAGTGAACCACAAATAATGTGCATAGCTTTGTATTCCTGTCTACAGCCTACATGGGAAAATGTACATGGGAAAATGTTACCACCAAGAGTGGTCCATTTACTCTATTTTTCAATCATATACTTGCTTGTATCCAAAAGAATATTACTGACATCTATAAACCAGAATATTTCGTAGTTCTTTGCACATTCAAGTACTGATTGTGGAAGTAAGCCGACCATCAAGATGGAACATTATCATATATGCATGTGAAGGAAACAAGACAAAAAGTTAAAACAACACTTCTCATGCGTCCGACGCGCTTTTCTGGATTTAGCTTCATTGGGAAAGCTCAAAGCCGAATATTTGAGAGCCAAGGATGTATAAGAACCGAAACAATTGAAGAGCTATATACCAAAAAGAACATAAAAGTCCTGCCAAATCCATCTTAGGTCAACTTTGCCTGGAGGAGTTGAAACCTTAGTTTCTTAATAATTTCTAAATTTAAAAACGAACATTTTTTAAAAGGTTTGTTATAAATCTTGCCAATACAGAAGTACTGACTACTAAACTGATGATACCCCAGGGGACTGATAGTCCAACATCAGAGATTTAGATCTAGTGCTGTATAGGTGAAGGTAGTTAACCGGTGTTCAAATCTTGTAAATCGATTAAGAAGAGACAAATCAAGGCAACAAACAAAAAGTGAGGGGAACGCACGAACACCAAAAGGAGCAAGTCGACATGGTACGCGCCATCCGCCATGCAAATTCACAATCAGTGGAAATGTCACAAACAGGAATAGTACATAATTGGCTGAATTACAGATCACACAACTATACTTGTATATAAAGACCATTAAAAATTAGCTAGATTATGAGTTTGAATCAAGACTAACATTATTCTTTTTTTTCTGGGCATTAATTCTGAGCAAATTTATTCCGAGCAAGATATTGTTGCAGCGAGCTTTCTTACATTATCATATTTGTGATTATACTCTCCATGTTTGTGATGAAACGATAAAGGTTTTGATTAATAAATGACATCTTTATCCCAATTGCATCTTTTTTTTTTGTACTGAATTATAACCTTCAATTAAATTCGAAACGTAACTGCAATCCAACGTGTATCTATTCACTGACAAATTCAAAGAAAAAGAAACGGAACCACAAAATAAAGAAAAGGAAAATTAAGATCAGGAAATGAAAGGTCGTTCTATTAAGTATGATGTTAAAGACCAAACAGCCTATTGTTGATGCGCATCAACTAACGCAACTTGGTAGTGACATAAAAGCTCTATGACGTTGTTTCTAGCCATGAAAAAAACGTCAAATTATAACGTCCTATTTCGCGTTTTTCACGGATTCCAACATGGTGTACGCTTAAAATTACGTCTTCCAAGAAAAGTGGAATTAAGCGTCGCACTGATACCTAGTGGAAATTAAACACAAATGGACACAAAAGATACTACACTATCTGTAACCTCCGTTCTAATAAAAATAATAATAAAAATATAAATTTTGAACTCGGCTTTTTGCATTTGCGCCGATCTGCATTTCACTTTTTTTCTGTCACTTGCGCCGATTTTGTCTTTCATTTGCGCCATTTGTGTACAGGTAAATTTTAGGTGAAAGTTATTTTTTTATTTATCATATAAACCTCTTCCGTTAGCCAGTTGTACATATGTTATGAATTGTCAATTATAACATGTATATAACTGTCGTCCCCTGCTCACAAAGGGGAGGTGGGAGTAGAATTTCGAGCAGGATAAGTCAATTTAAAAGATATTTGTTCACTCTGTTTACATCCACTAAAATCACGGAGTAAAATTCTATTTACAGCATTTCAAAGCACCACAATAAAAACCATAAAAATGTAATACTAGTACAGTGAATTACTAGTATTATCTTGCCGAGAATTTATATGCCACACATCTGATATATTCCTTTCTTGTCATTTTATCTTTTCTATACTTGTTGTACTTGCCAATAACGAAGTCCATCTTTTCTTTCTCGTGTCAAAACGAAGTTCTCGAACAATATGACCAAATTTTATCTTAAACATAAGGGAACACTATTTATATCCATATATTACCATGCAATATACATTCTAGGTTTACTACATGTACATGTATTTACTTGTATAGCAAATAAAGTATCGGGGCTAGTAATAAAAAAAAATAAAATAGGCGCTAATGAAAGAATCAAATCGGCGCAAATTAATTAAAATATAAAAGATCGAAATTTTTTTTTAAATCGGCGCAAATCTCGTACGCCCGTGTAACTTTACACTGGTAAATTTATATGACTTACGCTTAGAATTTTAACTTCATATGTGATTTTCAAAACTGAGTTTTCAGAAGGTTAGGCCGATAAACAATACTTTCTAGAAGTTTCGATATACTGGCAACGTATGCATGTTGAGATTAACTTATTTCTTTAAGATTCTCGTGAAATAATGGTGATCTTGCAATGAAGTTAAATTTTATCTATACTGCTTAATTGACAAAATCTTATAGTAAAAATAAAAATGATAAAGGTTCATTGTCTTTTGTCATTTGTTTCATTTGAAATTGTCTCAAGGAGAAATGATAAAGATTTCGCCTGATCTCACAGAAGCTTAAGGAAAAAAATATAAGAAATTAATATACTCAGTGAATGTGAATTAACATAAAAATTTACGGTTTTTAAAACTAAACTTGTTGTAAATTTAACTTATGACAAAAACAATTGTTTCAAGAATAAGATCCAACATAAAATTTCTCACTTTCAAAAAGCTACAATGACCGGAAAGATTGAAAACAAATTTCAATTTTCAATGCCGGAAATCTATACATACAACCTTGTCTTTGTTTTAATTTCCAAAATGAGCTATTTAGATTCATAATATTTCATCCTGTTTTGAGAAATACTTTAAAGTTTTCAACGGGAAATTATTTCTTAGATTCTAAATCAATTTTTGAATTAAAAACTTATTTGTATTTTATATTTACTGTCTCGTTTATTCAAAACACGTGCGGTAGTAATAACGGGGATCGTATTTTATGATAGGTTAAATGGATGTAAAACGTTTTAGAATCAAAAACTTTAATTCATATATTATACCTATAATTTTAATTTTCTTATATTTCAAATATTCAGAAATAATGAATCCACAAACTAGATGGAATAATTTGTATACGCTCGTCTTAGTCGGGACACATAATGGTATAAAGAAGTTCGTCCGTGCTAATGTCTGTCCGTCTGTCAACAGTAGCGAAAGAGTGCGCTAGGGCGAAGTTCTGAAATTGACGCGACAAAAAACCCACACATCTAGTCTAATATAGTCAAATAGTCTGTAAGTTAGCCATTGTCATCTTTCATTTCTCTTTTTATTTTCAATGATTTTGCTAATGAGAGGGAGAGGACAAAAACAGACTTTCCTTTCTAAAGCGTCGTAAAAGGTTATTTCGAACAATTTTTCATTCCGACGGATGGTGTTTCTGAAGGTTAATTTTGTGCGGCAACAACATCATGAGATCTTATACTGATACATACATGTGATCTCTTGTATTACCGGATAATAAAGTAGGTGAATATAGTTGTTATTCTTGATTCTTGAAAATTTAAATGTGGGTTTCAAACGTCCAATTTGCAGTTTTTTTCAAACAGTGCGCCAGCAAGGAAAACTTGTACTATGACGTCAGATTCAATGTTCAGAAGAAAGACAACTCTTTTCTTCAAAACGAACGAGAAAAAAAACCTGAAAATTAATCATAACCGAAAGGTCGGTGACATATACATTTTTTTGCTTTATTTTGAAGAGTACACATGGCACTTTCCTTCTTGAATTTTTTATGAAAAAATCACTGGTAAATATTTTTTAATACTTGAAACGTTTTTCATTCTTGCGTTTTATTTTTGGCGGGAATGAAATAAATCATATTTTTTAAGATCAAAACAATAAGAGTCTTAAACTCTTGAACCTGTATCTGATAGACACAAATCTTCTGTTTAACATGAAACAAAAATTATGCTTGTAGGTTTGCTATAATGGGATTTTTTGAGAGTTTAAATAACAAGCAAATATCATGTTAATATTCGGGAAAACACGAAACTGAGGTTGCTATAGTGACAAAACTAAGTCGGTGACCCCCAATTTTTTTTATCATATTTTGTTCCTCAAATCATGAAATACCTTCACACAAAATTTTAAGGAAAAATCACTGGTAGAACTGAATAGGCTGTTTGGTCTTTAACCACAGGGAATACTTATATAACAATAATAATAAAAAATCACAATGATTGCTACCAACGTTTGGATTGGATATAAATCATCAAGAATACCAGTCTTATAATTTAGAACGTCAGAAGCGCGTTTCGTCTAGATTAGACTCATCAGTGTCGCTCGAATCAAAACAGCAAAAAGGGCCATCTTAAATACGTAGTTGAAGGCATTGAAAACCAAGAATTTCGAAAGGTTGTGCCAAATACGGCTAAAAGGTGATCCCCTCCTCTTTTCCTCGAATGCGACCTACAGAATTAGACTTATAAACGGGTTTATACTTACATGAGCAACACGACGGGTGCCACATGTCATTATGCTAATATATCACAGATACTTCAACATTCTAGATTATAAGAATTCAGTTAGCTTCTGAGGAGAGAGTTTTTGCTTCGTGTTTAAGGCCTCACTGTGACTTTGAGATGAAGAATAGCAATAAAAGCGCGATTCCTTTCTTTGCTTGTTGTGTGTTTTGCTGTGCATGTACTGATTGTGTGTCATGGATGGATACCCCATATCCTTTCTTTTCGAGTCTGATAGTTCGAGAAAACAAATGCAAAATAGAATTTCAGAGTGAAACACCTCAATACGTCATGAATATCATTACATTTTGTTCTGAGGTTTTTGGAGTGAACAAAATAAAGAAGTGTGACTGGCTCATAATCAGTTTATTAATACTTAAGGCGACAGCAACACACGCGCTATTCATTTGCTTTTTAAATTTATAAATGCATGAAGTGATTTTGTATCATGAATCAATACACCACATCCTTTCTTTCTTTCTTTCTTTATTGTAATTTGTAAATCTTGTATTATATTGTTGTGAATTTTCTCTGCATCGATGTTATTTATTTATTTATTTGATTTTGTTTTTTTTTTTTTTTTTTTTTTTTTTTTTTTACTTTATTTTTACTTTATATATATTTCAAAAATATAGTCATTATTAAAACTGAAAATATACTAGAGATTGTAATGTTTTAAGAACGAAATAACGTATGACCTACCTCCCTGTGTATCACGTAGTTCTGACATATGCTCTTCTGTTGATCCATAAACCATACACCCATCAATAAACGATGTTACATCATTCATTTGTTCTCTTTGTCCTGGTAATTTGATTACAAATATTAGAGTTTTATAGAAGAAGCCGGCAGAAGGTCATAAAATATATTATGTAAACTTGACAATTGTCAATGAATTATGCCTGAAAGGTATATAAATATGATAAACAGATACCTTGCACCGTACAACCGACCTTCGTCCCTATGGCACAAGGAAGGTAATTTTACATTTCTCTTTCTCTTCACTTCTTGAATTGAATATTCGTTTGAACATGTTAAATGTTTCTGTTTACTTAATATTATCGATATAACAACATATTTAATGCATATTAAAGACCATTTCCCTTTGTTAAATACCGTTTATTGCGGGTTTTGGACAAATCTATTTATTTTATAAATCCACAATAAAACAGATAATACTAAAGACACATAATCCGTAGATAATTTATGCAACTTTCAAGAATATACTTTAGTAACACAGATTTGTTTTACGAATGAAAGGAGAAGATCCGGTAAGGGCTAGTTCTGGCCTAAAATTTGAAGTGCATCTGATGAAAGATTTTGACATTTTTTAAACACTTATGTGTCCACTTCGGTCAATGCAATTAGTTTATGTAAAAGATTTGAACTGATTTTGGTCATTAAAAACGCTCAAATTCAAGCTTATATATGACAAATCTATCAAATATGCCATAAAACGTCACTTTTCAGTTGGCTTTTGTCTAAAATGTAAGTGGCTTCATTCGTGTTCAGTCTCAACCTTTATATATGTTATGTATTATCATCAAATACAACATATATTTAAAATATTTAGACTGGACACAAATGCAGTCACTTCCAATTTAGTCAAAAACTGTCTTAAAATTAGCATAAATGCTAAAATTGTGCAGATTTCAGTAATTTTGCATGAATTCAATTTGCTGGTACCTGATGCATGTTCATTGTATTGTCAAAAACAACCCATTTTTATGGAACAAAAGTATTCTACTTTCTGATAAATATCTAAAAGTTTAAATTTCAACAAATTTGTAAAAATGCTATATTTTGGGGTCAAAAAGGGGTCTTAATGGGCCTACTCCTTTGACGAAAAACCCTCAAGACAAAGATACATTACAAACCGCCTGTGAATACTGCTTTGAGCACCTGGGATCATCCACAGCTTTTGGTGGAGTATGTTTGTTTGTTTGGAATGCAAAACAGAGATCCGACGAATATGAAAAAAAAAATAAATAGGGGAAACAAAATGAAATAAAATCTCTTCAAGTAAGCAGTGGTGCACGACCGTATCCGTTGTGATCCAAACAAAATGATACGGATCGGTTGTACGGTGAAGAACAGCATTCTCATACACTATAGTTTGTCAAGACGTATATCTCACCCATCTGTTTATTTTAGAAAAACAAAAGCCCTTTTGGACGAATAGTGTGGCCAACGTTTTGCAAAAGGATGTGCTTTTTAACAGCACAAAATATACCCGGCTAGAAGCTAGAAGAATGAAATTCTTTAGAAATCAATCAATTTTGTCATAGAAGGCAAAGAGTAAACAAAATTTTTTTTATCATTATATAATTTGCATTGTGTAGTTTGTTAAATGTCGTTAATATATTCAATTTCCAGGGCCAAGTATAGGTCTTTTTTCTTCCTACTCTAAACCTGAAAAATCAGTTGAAAATCCTACTTTAATGACACACAGAATGTCCATCAGTTATAAAGCCGTTTAAGCCATGTCTGATAGGTGTATATATCAAATTGATAAGTTTCTTCATTATTGGTTAAAGAAGATTTCGGTTACAGGTGTAATCTCTTTTACTATAATTAAATATGTTGAAGGAATGTTAAATAAAAGAAGAATGTGTCTGAGGACACGAATTCCCCCGCTCAAGCTTCAAGCAAACGAAAATGGGACTGACGGGAGGACGGGAGGACGGAAAAACGGACGATCAAGGGAAACAATAGCGAAAAAGTATTGTTATGGTCAAGACTAATTGCCGGAATGCATGGTCGGGTTGGAAACTGAATAATTACGGACGTAACAATAATATAATGTCTATAGTTACATAACGTTATTGTTACGTCAATGCATTTCGATGCATGTTACTTTAGTATATATTAAAACATTTGAAAGCTCTTTTATTCTAAATAGATACATGCATATTAAGGCAACAGTAGTTTACCAATGTTGATATCTCTTTAACAATTAGGAAGAAACAAATCAAGGTAACAAACTGAAGCTGAGGGATCGCATGCATCACCCACTGTGCGAATGCCCACTCAGTAGATTAATTTCCTTGATAGAGGTTTGCTGCTTGCAAGAAAGCTATTAAACCAAGAGTTCCAAGAGATCAAGTTGCAATCGTCCCTTCGTAAATTTTACGGACGCCATCACGAGTTGGTTGCCGGTATGTTATATCCGTTTCACAGATGACAACAGATATGTTCCAATTGTCGTAACTACAATTCCGTCCCCTTTTCCTCGAATGTGACCTACAGAATTAGACTTATCACCGGATTTGTACTAACATGAGCAACACGACGGGTGCCACATGTGGAGCAGGATCAGCTTACCCTTCCGGAGAACCTGAGATCACCCCCAGTTTTTGGTGGGGTTCGTGTTGCTCAGTCTTTAGTTTTCTATGTTGTGTTTTGTGTACTGTTGTTTGTTTATCTTTTTCTTTTTAGCCATGGCGTTGTCAGTTTATTTTCGACTTGTGAGTGTTAATGTCCCTTTGGTATCCTTCGCCTCTCTTTCAGTAAAAATGTCACAATCGGTAATTGGACGCAATTGGTAGAATTACAAAGAGGACGACTGTACTATATAAAGATCTTAGACCGCGAAAACAAGTCGCTAGTGAGTTGAGCCACCGTCACGTCGTATCGTGGTGGTGACCGCCGCCAAACGTATGTAGTGTCGATTTCAGTCGTGTATATACACAAGTTCACTGTTTTAGGTAACTTAGAATATTTTTTTTTTTATTAATCTGTTGACAGATAAACTCTGCGTAGTTCAAATTTATTTGTGGAGGTAAGTGACGATTGTCCTAAAACATACATATCTTCTATAAATAAACTAACGCGAAGAATGCATATCAACACATTACCTGCATATAGCCAAATAAGGAATGGTAGGTATTATTTTCTTTTTCTTTTAAACTAAGCTTGTCGTGATTGATATGGATTTAACGAACTTAACAATTATATGCTGTGTTAAAGTCTTCCCAATGAAATTGTAGATACACATTCCCTATGAAAGCTAGCTTAGCCAGCAGTAATCAAGAAATAAAACAAAACAAAAAGATGTTTCTCATCGGATTGTTATATAAAATCGAATGAATTACTTTACCTGTCATACAGCTTTTGTCTGCTGCGGATGATCTTACAAAGTTTAAACATGTTATATTTTTAAAAAATGGATCATCATGTGGTACTGGTATAGCGTAACAATCTTTCCTGAAATATTCAACATACCATATATTCTTGGTTGATAATGATATTTGTCCACCAATAAACATATTTGGGTTGAACATAAATTGTTTCAAACTATGAAGATACAACTTAGTTCTGAGAAATATGGAACGACATAAGGCATGAAATTCCATGTTTTAATGCAGAGACTTAACAGGCGACTATTTCATATGTCATTCGAAAGCATATCATAATTTGTTTCTTTTTTGTCTGGTCCTCTAATATTACTTGCACTTTCCGGAAAATCAAGGTCAAAGGTCAAGGATGGACAGCTAAATATATTAATCGTTATCAAGATCTATCATGACATCGACACAATTGGTTTTGGAAAATTAAGAATAAAAAATTTTCATAGCATTATTTGTATACAGTATTTCCCAAATCGTTATAATTAGTCTCTCATTTTGTTCAACAATCGTAAAGATAAATTCACGCTGAAATTTCTGAACTTACAATACTCTAAAAGTAACAATAACAATCGGTAACAATTTTTCTGCGCCATATGCGCATTTCAACAATAAATCTCTCGTCAGTGATGATCGAGGTCATAATATTTGAAAATCCAATACTAATTAAAAAAATGAAGAGCTTATAAACCAAAAAGGACCAAAAGTATAGACAAAGTCAGGCAAGAAATCATAGCTTTCTTAGGTTAAAACAAACAGGGTAACCATATTCCACCAATTAAAATCAATAAACGCCTTTAAAGAATAAAAACCCAAAAATATATGTGTATTAATACAAAATGTTAAAATGAATGCATATATATGCCCAAAGTCTGGGTATGTAAGGAAAAAATAATGGATAGAACGATAAATTCTAACATAATTCCTGTTTGGATTATTCCCTTCTCCATATACTTACTTCAAAGCATTGGTATGGTTACAACAATCCAGATCAGCTGGATGGAAATTGGAAAAGGAAGTAAAACGATTATTTTTCTTCAATTTATTTTTTATTTACTTATTTACTATTGACTGTTGATGTCATCTAACTAGACGGTGATTGCAACTGCTATAAACGCTAGACGATCACCAGAAGATAATATTTTCTTGGTTTGATTAAAATGACGATTACACTTAATTCAACTATAACCGTTTGCTTTTTAAATTTTTTGTAAAAAACGTAAGCTTATCAAACCTCGTTATTGCATAAATGTCTTCTGTAAAAAAAACTAATTCTGTTTCGATAAACCTCTAGAGTTTTTATGCTTTTTTAAAATTTATTTGTTACATATTGCATACCTCCTTCACCTGGTGTTGCTGCCATATCATGTGCTAGAAACTGTCCATAAGCCATAAGCTGTACTGTATGAATAGTAGAAAAGATGGTTGTATTTTTTGCATCAAATAGCTTATTACTAACAAGTCTGGCACTCGGCATATCATGGTAGTCTCTAGGGGCATCACCTAAATAGATGTGTTCAACAAGTAGACATATCAATAGTTACAGATGTTGAAATACTTATCGTCATAGTGATTGATAGAATGGTCTTTCTGTATCTATTTTGTTATGTATTGCTGAACGAGATAAAAGAGGAACCAGTAATTGATTAAGACGTCGATTAACACCTAGTAGACACATATTCAAGTAACTTTCCAAAAACAGGATTTTTTTTCGAAGATCGATGACTTTTCAGTTTGTTTTTTGTTTTTGTTTAATAGAAAAACAAAGGATATAGGGTATCCTATTTGACACAAAATCAGTACACGCACAGCCAAAACAAAAAACACAAAAAGCATAAGAACAGCGCTTTTACTGCTGTTCTTCCTCCCAGTGAGGCATTCAACACGGAACAAAAAAAATTTCACCTCACTACAAATCTAAGACGGCCCTTAGCGACGACTAGAGGGGAATTGTTTGCTTGTTTGATCTCTCTTCGTGTTTTTTGTGTTTTTGTTTTCATTGTTAAATTTTCGTTTTCGTTTTGATTTGTTGACGATTTGAGCAGACATCATTATCCAACTTGATCATATTATTTCAAATTGATCACTATACCTGTCATGATAAGGAACGTATTACATTGTCATTCTGTGTGAATGCTTGTGTGTCTATTGTTTAAAAACATATCAGTTGAACGGCAAACGCCTGAATCTGACAGATGGAGGTCAATTTGTCGACAAAAAAAGTACCCGTATGTAAAATGTTTACGCCCACAAACAGCGCCACCTATAATTTTTTCTACGGCGTCTTTGAGAACGATGTTCCGTTCTGTAGTAAATTAAAACATTAAATTAACTAAAACATAGAAAAGTAAGTGTATAAAACTAATGAAAAGATATATTTGCACATGACTGGTTATGCATGATACGCTGGCAATGTGCGCAATGTCCTTTAATCCAAGATTCAAAATTAGTTTGTTTCCTATGTCAAAATGGCGGATTCCAATGTTTACATTTTTCCATCGATTTGAGAGCTGACACAAATTCGTATCCAATCATTAATTTGCATATTATGTACTGTGTAGGGTAGCTTATCCAATGGGATTCACTGTTATAAAGTGGCTATACGTTACCATCCATCGTTACAAAAGTGCCATGTGTTTTGTGTGTATAGCTCAGGAATGATGTGTATTCAATATTTACGGTAAATAATCAATGTTATGTTCATTATATTTCCATTCATACACAAGTCATAACAGCAAATGCATTTTTTATAGAACTTATTAGGTAAACAGACATGTTTAACTGTCTGCTTTAGCAAAAATTCGTGTAAATAAACCCGATGGGTCGTTTTGCATATTCAAGCACAGCAGACAAACACGTGGTAGATTATTGATGTTTGTTTACCTAAATTACACGCTGTTGTTACTAAATACTTAGAAATAACCATTATCGTGATATTATTGTTTAACAGCAGATAAAATTAATTTTACAAATGCATTTAACTACTCTCAAGAGTTATATAATACACCTTGCCTAAGAAATAGGTCTAGCTAGGTCCAGGGACCTCCTTTACTAGGTCCTTAAAGAAAGAGGCTGTAATAATGTACATGATGTAAATTACCATATTTACATTCCAGCATTTTTTTGCATTTGATATATTTCATATACATGTACATGTATGTACATAGAGAACAATAGAGTAAATGAACATACATGGGTTTAATTCCCACCCTAGGTATTAATTTTAATACTCATTAGAGGTTGGAGCAAATAGGGCAGATTGCAATTGACCATAATGTAGTGTCTAAAAATGCTGATTGATGTGGCCAAGTCCTCAACATCCTTTTTTCTAAGTATACAGCAGCTCTTTTAAGGATTAGTAAGGGAACATAGTCCAGTGGCTAAGTCCTGTCTTTTTAGTCTCTATTATTTCCTTATTTATATTATTATTTTTCTTATATTCTCTTGTACATGTAGTAAGCTAAAAAGCTATCATTACTCTTTTTCCTCATCTGCCTGATAACAATGAAATGTATTTATTGTTGATGTCTGTAAAGTGACTTATAATTTAACTGCTAACAGACATTTGGACTCTGGTGGATAGTTTCTATACTGTTATCTCATTGGCAATCATACCACATCTCTTTATTTTAGTACAGGTTAAGTATTTAAAGTAAGTGACTAACAAACATTAAATCATTTGAAAGAAAAATTCTGCAATGATTTCAGTTTACATATATCAACAATAAAATTTGGTTGTATAAATTGTGTCATTATGTTTATAATGACCACTGTGAACTGCCATGACTGTCTTGTACAAAATATATTTGAATAAGTTCCCTAATGAAATAGTATATAGATGTTTAAAAAAACAAATGTATGTACTAGTTCCAGATCTATCAATTCAAGAATAATTGATGTTTTTTTTTAATTAATTGAATAATAACAACTTATTGCAATAATCATGATAATCATGATATTAAAATACAAACTAGCATTCTTATATGTGATACATATATAACTTAATGCAGCTTATTCTGAAATTGTAAGGTATGTCATAAAAAAGAGATTTTTTGTAAAAGTTACCAAAATTGTCTGTATTTCAACCACATTTAGGCCTAGGAACCTGAAATTTTTAAGTGTAGAGGTTGACAAGCTAAGTCATGACTGTAAATTCAGATATTATCATGAGGTTTTTATTAAAGTAAATGATGCGATTAAATTGATTATCTCAATAAAAAGAACTCTCATTCTGATTTGATACTATGAGATTTTTTCTGATATCAGAAAAATAAATATCTCATTGTTGTCCATTCTTCAAAAAATTTCTGAACATACTGTACATGTATTTAAGTCAGCTTTGTTTTTGTCTGAGACTACTATAACATGGGAAGTGACCAATCTCTATGTTAATTGTTATAGTAGTCTCAGGTTTTTGTTTTGTAGTTCAATTGACTATGCATTTTAGAGCAGTTAAATATGAATTTGGATTAAATTTGAAGTTGATTCATTATATTTTATGACATAATAACACTCTTTTATTTAAACAAAGCATTTTCAGACTTTATTTACAGACCAGCTTAGCTAATCATTCATTATTCAATCAATAATTTAGTTAAAGGATCAACAGTTGTTTGTAGGACTTATGAATTCAAATATAAGGGAAAAAAATCAAAACTTGAAGTAATACATGTAATAGGAATTATGAGAACTGCATGTTATCAGATTGCAATACAGCTTTTTGTTCAGTTTTCTTTGTGTTGATTATAATGTTTTAAATCCCTTTCTGGCTTTTTGGATGTTCAGATTTTTTCTCTTGATTAAGAGCGAGCAACGGAACTTGTACATCTTATATAGTTTCTTATCTCGGGGGTGGATCAAGCCAATTTTCAAAGAGGAGGGGGCATGTATTGTCTACATTTTCTTTTTTTCCATATTGTATTTTAATGTAATGCAAAGTTAAATTCTATTGTAACACAAGTTCTGCTGACAAATGGCTGATAAACCCCTCTTGTATGTAATTATTTGGCATGAAATGAAATATGTTTTTTCTGTATATGGAAATTAGGAATAATCCACCCTCTCTTTATAAAAGACCTGGATCTGCTTAAAAGTTCTTGCTTTTCTCAGAATTTTCCATTGTTACATCAGGAATAAAGGCTACCAATAATCATGCTTGATGATCATTGAGGTCACACATAAAGAACCCATCTCTTTGCAGATCATAGTAGAAAAACAAAGATACAATGTAGTTGGTAACATAAATGTATTTAAAAATATCAAGAGAAACATTCCCATACAGAATCTCTGTCAATAAGTTATTTTTCCACTCTTTACAGTGAAATCTTAAATATGTAAATTGATCGGCAAGCCTCGCATCTTGAAAAATAAAATGTCTGTAGGAAAGAACTATTGTTTCACAATTGATGCTGTGTTAGAATTTATAATATCACTCTTTTTTCCCCATATGATCAGCATAAAAAGTGACAAGTTCTTCAGTCTAAATAACTTTGTTAGATCTCATTTCTGATGGAACATTTTCAGTGCACCAGATTAACAACTTTCTATGTTAGATACTTATTTAAATATAAAAATTCAAGTCTAATTTTAGAGTGAAATTTTAATATATTTAAACAAACTTTTCTAAACAACCAACATGTACAAACACTGAGTTTATTTTCATATCCTTTCTAAGAATATTGATACAAAGAAAGTAAAACAAAGACTTGTATCATTCCATCTACCAAAAGGGTGTTTGAGAATATACAAATAAGTCCAAGTTTCAGAGAAAAGTCAGTTATCTATAATTTTCTTCTTTGGAAGTTTTCAAAAACCTGTTTTAGGGTACTTGAAAAAATGCCATATTCAAACATTCCATGACTATTTTAATGTAACAAGAGTAGAAGAACATTAAATATTGAATGGTTATTCAAGAAAGTGTCGAAATATTACTACAATCATTAATTTTACTCGAATATACTGTTGTGCTTGCAGTTTCCTACGACGCGTGTACGGAGTTATCTCCCGTTGATCTCCGCTTCGCCACGAATAAGCTGACACAATTGCGTATCCGGGGAATTTATGATCTATAATTAATAAATAAGATCCAGAAAATGGTTTTACTTCATATTTTATACCCCTCCATACGATACCAAACCCATTTAAGAAATGATTTGGGATTTTCCGTAGACCTACGCAAATTTTCCAAAAAAAATTTCAACTTCCATCGTTGTTTTAGAATACTTTTATAACACCTTTCATAAATAAGTATACATAATAATGAAGCTTATTCACTCAAGATTTGGACCCTACAAGTTTTATTTATGTACGAGTTACAATTAGACGATACGAGGTAAAAAACCAAGAGGTGTACACGTTCACAAGAAAACGGTAAACTCTGACCTTTTATCACGTGACCAATGTCTTGAACTTAGACGCCATTAAATCGTTTGCCGTTCAACTGATATGGCAGCCTGTATAGATGTTTATATTTTATTCGTTATATTGTTGTATAACTCTTTTATTAATATACCGCCTTTTGTTCATTTATATACTTACCATCACTATACATCGGTGGTATAAAGCGAGCCTGTGGCGTAAAGGACATGCCCATGGAAGGACTTATTAAGTTGTTACATGCCCCATTAGCTGTACGGTAACGATCACGATCATCAGTGTTACAGGTAAAACTTCCAGGACATTCAACTGATGAGGGTTCCTGGTTTGGCAAATTCGGCATCATTTCGTCCAGGTTTCCCGACCTGCAACCATGGCAACAATTTTTACTCTTTTAGGATTATACAAGTGACTTTAATAAATGATTTGACTCCATCTGATTAAATAAACGTTATATTTGTAGGAAATTAATTAATCTGCAGCAAACAATAAATGAGATTTAAAATCTAAGCATGGAAGTATTATATTGACAATATAGTACTTCCATGATATAAGTAAAACAATATACTTACGCGTAGTTTATCAACAGGAGAATCGTTGTAGTAACGACGTCTTGCATTGCTATAATGAGATAAAAATATCATATTGAACTTTTAAAGGCCTTAAAATCGTGGGTCCCATTAACTAGCCGAGCCAAGTCGGTTGAGGATAAGGTATTCACCCTTTAAGAACTAAAAAAAAAAACCAATTTATGTGCCAATGCTAACCATTTGAGCGAGCAAAATAAAGGAGTAGGGGCAATAAACCCCTTATTTGGCCCAAAAATTGGTGCAAATCAAAAAGGTTTCCATACATATTCTTAAAGTTGTCCTAACAACACTAAGGTACAAAGTGTTCAGAAAATAAAACAAATTTCACATTTAACGAGTTACCATGGCAGCAAACCATGACGAAATTTGTACATAATGTAAATTTAGTATTTTCCTTGTTGAACGCCCACTTTGAAGTATATGTTAGATTGGAAAAGTATGTGCGCACCCTAAAACAACTTTATATTTGGTAGAATTATGTCATTAGTTATAATAAAGCTTATCTCTAATCATTCTGTTGTTTCGTGACTGCGTACTATGTTTCAACAATGAAAATAACAACTGAAAACTTAATAAATTCCTCATATTCAGAACAAAAATTGTATATTATGACGTAATTGTGACGTCATAACATCAAAAATCTTATTTCATTCATTTATATTTTTGATTTCATGCATTTCAAACATTATGTGCATTTTTGAAATAGTTCGCAGAAAGTTTATTTTCTTGGGCCAAAACCGGCCTTGAATACTCCTTTGTCTATCGTTTTCAGACTCTGAAGTATTATTGTATGTGTTCACAAATTCTAACCAAAGGAAATAATCTAAGCATAAAAAAAATTCCTCAAAATTTGGAAGTTACAACTGATTTTCAATTTGACTGTTTTGGTGATGAAGCTAGGAAATGCAACTCGTGTACTATACGATGTTAAGTTTGGTTCAAGTGTTAGAAAATTTCTATGGATAGACTCTTTCAAGGAAGTGATGGTAAAATTATCCAAAAGTGGAGTTTACTGCAGTGCATGTATTAAGGAAATACAGGTGCAAAATTTGTAAGTACCACATTTTATACAAATGGAACTATACTTGTTCGTGGAAAGCACTCTTGCTCTGAACGGAGAGACAAATATTTGTCTAAAACTAAGGACATAGTGAACTAAAAAGAAAATGGAGTAAGCATTGCTTTACTTATTCATGATAGCCAAACACGACAAAAAAATGTACTACCAGCAGACGATTCTATGAATAATGATATCCAAACAGTCCGAAAAGATATATCATCAATACAAGATACTACAATTTTTCAGCAAAACGTAAATCCGTCTTCTCATACTAGTAGTACACCGCCGTACCTACCGATCACACAAACTATCATAGTTTTCCCGACAAAGTTGTGAAGTTATTACAATCTTTGAATTCAAACAATTCCACCTGGACTTCACATAATGCAACTCTTATCCAATTTTTTCACGACAAATACACTGAAATTGATAAGCTCCGAAATGAATGTAAAGTGAGCAAACTCCAAAGCAAAACCCAAAATCTACAAAACGCCCAAGATTTACTGACAGTGGAATATTGTCATCCTAGACTCCTTTTGTTGAGCAACGGTCCACCACAGCAGCAAAAGAGAAGATAGGCGAGTCCAAAACATCACTTAGGCACAAACTAACGCTGTAAATACGCTGCGACCGAAAAAGCAGATCTATTGATAATATTCTTATGTTGGGAAGTTCAATAACAAAAGGCATTAAAACATTAAAACATCAAATTTGAAGGAAAATGTGTGCGTAAACACAAATCGGGGTGCTATCGTTTCCTATCTTGAGAAAAAGATAGAGGAGATCTGTCCCTTTTTTCAAGAGTTGTGCTATAGTTTGGGGGAAATGATGCAAAAATGATAGAAGTGTTCAAATGCAAATACAAAAAACATAGAATTTATTAGCCATATGGATAATTTTGTTTTGAGAAATGGATTGATACAGATGGTGTTCATCTCACACAGGCTGGGACAGAGAAACTTATTGATAACATTAATGAGTGATGCAAATAACGAGTTCTAGTGTCAATCTTTCAAGTAGTTCTTATCAACCCTACTGTTATAGTTGTGGTGAAAAGAACCACACGTTATCATACTGCAAATTTAATAAAAGGATCAAATATAAAACTGCAAATTTAATAAAAGGATCAAATGTTTCTGATGTAATGGTCTATGCCATAAAGAACGTAACTGCTGGAATAAAACTTTTATGTGAAATGGTGGCAAAGAAGATCAAACCAATGATATATATGTACAAAATAATCTCGATATACTCTATTCTATTTACCTGTGGTATCTGTCAAAATGATTTTTTAGATCGTATTTGTAATCTGAAGCCTTCTACAAATGATAGTAAATCTTGTACAAATGTTAATAAAAAATCAAAGTAAAGTTTTCATTATCAAGAATGGTTAAAATGCTTCAGATCAAGACAGTATAAATACGTGTTATGTATATGGTCATTCAGAAAAGGAGATAAAATTAACATACCATAACATACAACATATTTTACCTAAGATCTATAAGACCAACTATAATTGGCATGTGTGAAACATTCTTAAATACTAAAAAAATGTAAGCGGGATTCTAATTAGATTAATATCCCAGGGTATAGCAAGGAAAGAAAAGATAGGGAAAATAAACAAGGTGGGGGATGGATAGTTTACTTTGATATTGATATCAAATATGAAAGGATGACATTATTAGAGAGTGAAAACATCGAAACTGTCAGGTTTAAAAAAAATCAAAACACAAATAATCATTTCTATCATGTTTTGTATACAGACCACCTAATAGGAAAACCTCCCTGGTATACTAAGTTTGAATATGAGGTTGTGAATAGCTTATCTATAAATGATAATATCTTGTTAATGGGTGACTTTAATATTGATTTCATGAAGCCTCTTCCTTCTAAAAGGTCAATTTTCATTACAACTTATGGTCTCCGTCAAAGAGTAGACTACCTATGTCATCATTATCCTGTTAGCTGTACCGTAAACAAACTTGCAAAGCTTATCAAAGACAAATCAGATTCACATTTTGAGATCAAATACAGAAACTTCGAAACATATAATGATGACAAGTTCTTACAAGATTTGTCCAATAAACCATTTGATATAATACATGAAATCAATGATCCAAACAAAGCAATGGACATGTGGTATTACTTACTTGTCAATGTTTTAGATAAACACGCCCCTGATGTTACCAAACGTGTAAACAAATAAATATCAACCAGAATGGTAAGCTGATGAAATTTGTAAATCAAAATTCCATAGAGGTTATTTTCACAAAAAGAAAGACACTGAGAATTATAAAAAAAATATGGAAATAAAACTAGTCAATTTATTCGTTCAGCAAATGCAAAATAGTTTATGGAGGCCACAGATAATGATAAAAACTTTAAAATTCTATGAAGGCATTTGAAGGATATGAATTCCATAACAAAACAGGAAATTGATATTTTAACACACAGAGGACAAGTCCTTACAAACAAAATTATATTGCTAACTGCTTAAATAATAGTTTTAGCACAGTAGGTGAGCAGCTTATTCCAGATCCTCACACACGTTTGGAATCTGAGAAAATTAATAACTATGTCAAATCGAAAATAAACGATGATGTTAAATCTTTATTCTAGACTTCACAAATGATGAAGTCTTACAAGGTCTAAACATTCTAGACATTACTAAATCAACTGAAACTTATGGAGTTATACAAGAGTTTTAAAATTATCAAGAACGATTGTAGCAAGCCCCCTTACTCACATAATAAATCTTATATAGTTTATGTACAGGAATATTTCCAAATACATATATTAAATTTTGATGCAGGCATATCTAAAGGGGGGATGATACAAATCGTGCAAGACCCTCATGGGTGGTCAAGGTCGTTAAAAAAAAAACCTCGTCGTCGAGATCCAAACACTTTTTGACCTATTTCAATTTTACCCACTGTGTCAAAGTTATTTGAGAAAACTGTCTTTAAACTATATTTATTTTTAACAAAACACAAATTATTAATACAACAGCAGTCTGGATTTAGAAGAAAAACATTCTTGTCATACAGCACTCATTAAAATAATTGATAAATGATTTATAGAAGAATTGGACAATGGAAATTTTACTGCTATTCTTTTTTTTTATATATTTTTAAGAAGGTATTTGATACTGTAAATCACAATATCCTTTTGTCAAAACTGAAATCATACAAATGTGATGACCACTCTGTAAAATGGTTTTCGTCCAACCTCTCAGCGGGTGCAAAAAGTTAAGTTTGGAACTGAATATAAACTATAACTTTGGAGTTCCTCAAGGTTCTATGCTTGGACCTTTATTATTCCTTGTTTATATCAGTGACTTACCAATTAACTTTAGAATATATAGAGTCTGGTTTATATGATGATGATACAACTTTGCATTTGTCATCTAAATCTATTGTAAATTTAAACATATGTAAATTAAGAAAATGTTATTTAATGGTGTAAAGAAAATGATGTGGTGATTAATAACAAGAAATCAAAATGTATGCCTGTTAGATCAGACAGAAAAAATGGAAACCTGCAATACATGTTTATGTGTTTTATCACAAGATAATATATCTTTAGATAATGTTGAAGTTGAAAAACGTATTGGAACCTATATTGATAAAAATCTGTCATGGTCAAATCAAATTGATAAAATATGTGAAACTATTTCAAGCAGAATATACCTGTTAAAAAGGTTGAAACAGTATTTACCATTAAAGGGTCTTATTCTTTTTTACCATAGCAATATATTATCCATGTTTGACTACTGTTATATAGCATGGGGTCTTCCCACAAACTGTTATCTGAAAAGGATTTATGAGCTTCAAAAACGTGCTGCAAGAATTTTTTTTTTTTTTTTTTTTTTTTTTTTTTTTTTTTTTTTTTTTTTTTTTTTTCCATCAACTTCAATGTTCAAAGAGATTGAATGGATGACTATATTTACGAGGATACAATATGTTATAGCT